TTCGTCTGTGAATCCTGCCAGCTTCCTGAGCACAGACACCTTGCATCCCTGCCCTATGCATCTGTCAGCGTGCCCCTCCTCTTGAAGATTCTTCGAGAAAGCCTGGCGGGTCGTGTGCGTGGTTTCTGCTGACTCCGGAACAAAAGCCCGATGTCAAGGCGCCTTCCCCAGAGTGACACGGCCCTCACGGAGTCGGACTGTGCACCTTGGCCAAACGTCAGAATCAGCTCAAGCTTTGGGTTCCCTTCCGATGCAACCGAAGCACGTGATATACACGCAGCTTCGAACACGTTTCAGGCATCTGGGTGGGTCAGGCCTCGCAGGGGTTTGCTTTCAGAAAAACCTCGTTTATTCATGATGGCCGGGAAGGAATGGGAAGGGGGCTGTAGTTCTTACACGAGAGCACCAGCATAGTGCTTGGGCGGTGGCAAGCCATCCTTTCTGGGCAACCCCACTGCAGGCTGGCAGAGAGTTGGCAAAGCGCTCAGGGGCGGAGAGGTCGAACTTGTCCAGAGCCGGGTCCACACCTGCACAGGTCACGGCTTGCTTTGCAGACCGGTCGAGTCGCGTCAGGGAAGCGGCATCTTCAGACGTGCTGGAGGCCTGGGGATTGGTGAGCCGGAAGCGGTGCGGCACGAACCTTGAGATCTATTCGGCTCTTTCCGGCTCCACCATCAGCTCCGTTGCGGCTCGCAGTACTGCTCGCAGTCATGCGTTCCCCGAGCCCCCGGCATAGGCCGACTGGAGGCACAGCGGCTTCTTTCGCTTTCCACTCACCGCTCTGTCGTGGAAGGTACAGGCGCGCACTCCCGTGATGTCAAAGCGGCCAGGCTGGGCCAAGGCAGCTCCTGAGCTGGGGTCAAGCTTGAGGAGTAGCCAACTGCAGCCACGCAGCGAAACTCCCGGTCGGACTCTGGGATCTTTGCCCGAAGTTCCTGCATCTGGGGCGCTGACCCAGCAGCGGCGCGCCTGGGGCAGCGCGGCACCCCGCAGGGCCGTGTGCTGCCCCAGCTGGAAGCGGTCCAGGCCTCAGGCGGAAGCAGCCGGGTCCCGGCTGCGTCTTCCCTCGAATCGAGGCCGCTGCCAAAGTCGACGCCGCCGTAGATGGCGGAGAGGTTGCTCTGCAGGCCTCACTTTTCAATGCCCTTCCAAGACGCAGCGGAACCTCTCACGATCTCTCACGGCTCTGAGTGTAAGGCCGGTCTGCATGTCCCGGATCTTAGCCCCTGGGTCCCAGCCGCGTGACACAAGCCTTGCCCTTGCTGCGCAACCCTTTCACTGAGCCTAGAGCCAAGGAGCCGGATGCACGAGTTGTCCCTCACGTTCCACGGCTGCGGAAGCTCGGAGAAGGCCTGGATGCTCTGACGGAATCTTGGCCAGGACCCACGGCTCTATCCTTGGGCAAACATCATCCAACCTCCGCCGAGGCCAGCACCGCATTCACAAGTGGCGCTGTGCCTCGTGCAATCATGAAACACACAACTCTCGAGTTACAACTTTGTAGACGACGTATGGAAACGACAAACTTCGGCCGGATCGACCCCTTTGCATCCACCGGGCAAATAGGTTTAGGGTTTCGCGGGGCTGAACGGTCAGTGGGCGTAGCAAGCCACCTTCTCAGCCTAGCCATTTGATGGTAAAGCACTAAGGCCGCGTCATGAATCAGTTCAGGACAAAGCACTGTGTCCAAACTGCAACAATGAAGGCTTTTAGCCGGGACGCAAAGACGAGCCGGGGCTGACGTGGAGCGGCGCCGGCAGCCTGCCAGGACGTCTCACAAATAAACAAACCACACGTGGGTTTCTGAGACTCGTTGCATTCCATGAGTGCGTTCAACGCAAAACCCAAACTTGGAGTCAATGTTCCTCTAACTTGTTCCGTTTACCTAAACGTTGTCATAAGCACATGTCTCCCGATTTTGCTGAGCTTCTTCTCATTTTTCCACATCTTCCCCGAGCTGACCTGCAATGTTGAACAAATGACGAAGAGCGGCGACAACTTTATGTGACTTTATGACACACAGTAGCAGCTCATTGTCAACATGAAAAAACAAGTATAGGACGAGTCACTTCGCTTACATATAACGGTTCCGTCAAAAAGTCAAGGAACGTCACCCTTGCTGCCTTCGCATCTCGTCGGAGGCGGGGTTGGCGACCTGTAAGCACGGCTTACACCATACGATAGTATACTGGAATACTCTATCATACAGTAATATATTGTAGTAGTTATAATATTTTACATTATCTTATATCACACTATACTATACTAGACTGTACTGTACTATAACATGATATAACGTGCTACTACAACATAATACAACATACTATGCCAAATTATGACATACGATAACATACAATACATACTATAACATACAATAT